GCCTGCCTCCCATAGCCAGGGTAGAGAAATCTGTCAGAAGATCCAAGGACAAAGTATGCTGAATACTTTGGAAGAGCTGGGTTAGCATTGTCTTTTGGTTTCCGAAAGATGTTATGAAAGAACAAGAAACTAATAGAACAGAGGTCTGAGAAAACACTGACCATATCACTGCCGAATTCTTGCCAACTGACAGTCCATATGAGTTCTAAAAGATGTACCCAAGCAAGGATGGCTGCCGCTGAATCCAAGGTGCCCACTGAAAACACAGAAACCTGTACCAGTTAGAAAGAAATCTCTCTCATTAGCTTTGGTCCAGGTCTTGGAGATTAAGTGACCTGCTGAGCCCAAACTATTCTCTGAGGAGAAATCCACTGTCGAAAAGGAAAAAAGGAAAAGGAAAAAAGGAAAAGGAAAAAAGGAAAAGGAAAAAAGGAAAAGGAAAAAAGGAAAAAAGGAAAAAAGGAAAAGAGGAAAAGGAAAAAAGGAAAAAAGGAAAAGAGGAAAAGGAAAAAAGGAAAAAAGGAAAAGAGGAAAAGGAAAAAAGGAAAAAAGGAAAAGAGGAAAAGGAAAAAAGGAAAAAAGGAAAAGAGGAAAAGGAAAAAAGGAAAAAAGGAAAAGAGGAAAAGGAAAAAAGGAAAAAAGGAAAAGAGGAAAAGGAAAAAAGGAAAAAAGGAAAAGAGGAAAAGAAAAAAAGGAAAAAAGGAAAAGGAGAAAAGGAAAAGGAAAAAAGGAAAAGGAAAAAAGGAAAAGGAAAAGAAAGTGACTAAGCAGCTGCAGATTCCAGTGCCAGAAGCCCTGCCTGCAGAAGGTGAATGGCTGGAGAATGGCTTGAGAGCAGCCCTGAGGAGAAGGACTCAGGGGTGTTGGTTGAAGAGCAGCTCAACACGACCTGGCAATATGTGCTTACAGCCCAGATACAGGTGGCTTTCTGGGCTGCATCAAGAGAAGCACGACCAGCTTCGAGGGAGGGGATTCTCCTCCTCTACTCTGCTCTCATGAGACCCCACCTGGAGTGCTGTGTCCAGCTCTGGGTCCTCCAATATCAGAAGGTTATTGACCGGTTGGAACAAGTCCAGAGGAGGTCACGAAGATGCTCAGAGGGCTGGAGCACCTCTGCTGTGGGGACAGGCTGTGAGAGTGGGGGTGTTTTC